GTTTGCAATGGTGTACAGGTCAAAGAGTCGCGGTACCGACTGTGGGATAAAGTTTCCCTAGTCAGTGGGTCGTGTGAGTGATTAGGCAAGTGACTAAAGGTCACTTGGGGGGAGATGTAGGGGAATAGGGATATTTTAGATAGTTGGATGAAGGCCGGAAGAGAAGAGTGGAAGGAGGATAATGGAAGAAGATCAGAAGAAGTAAACAAGGACGATATAAAAGGGGTGATCTCAGTAGAATAAACGATTCCCCTCAAGTGTTCCTGAGCATCCGACCAAACGACGGTATCGCTGCAACCAACAGTTCCCCTAATTGTGGGTAATATGAGGGTTACTTTGAGTTCTGTCGCAATCCCTCCCACGCCTACCTCGTCTTCCGCACCCATCTCGAATGACAAAGATGGAAAAGAAGAAAAGCCATCGCTAGCGCAGAGGTCAACATAACCGGACTCTTCAAGAAAATGATTGAAAATTGACTTCGTAATCGACGTCCATGGATATCGTTTACACAAGCGGAAGAAAATTTCGATTATAGCCACAATACCGATGTCCACAAAGCAGAAATTTTGACTCATCTCAGAGACAAATTTGAAAAAAGCGGTCTCTGTTGTGTCAGAATCCATCTGCAAAGAGGATAATCTCATCGCAAGAGTGCTATTATTGTACGCAAGTCGCCGAAGTCCATACTTCATACACCAACCAAATAAATGGACCCCCCTACAATGGCTACATTCGGTGGGCGAAACTGTATTTCACCGTGTCATGTAAACAAGAGAGCTGCGACAACGCTGCAGTTCAGTCATACCACAGCAAGAGTCTACAAACAATGCACAGTAACATGCGGAACTGTGGCAACGTCTTTTGGAATAACAGGCATTCTGCAGTGGACAAGAACAATACAAGGGTCGGCGCTCAGAATCCTCCCAATAGAGTAAAAGAAAATGTATGAAGAGATCGTATTTCCAGACCTTTACCACATTTCCAACGTCATGTTGCACTGGTACAGGTCGCTTGCGCTTGGCCAATTGCAATAATTTTGGCATACCTATGTCTCTAGCCTTGTGGCTCAAAAGTGATTTCCGTACTGCTCCACATCGGATTTGTCGTGATTCGCAACGTAGGAATTCTATTTTTGGTCATCGTAAGAGCCTTTTCCCTCCCCTCCGTTTGGGCGACGCGCGGAAGAGAGAAGAAGACTTTAAAAAAAAGGACAAGGCTGCTCTCACTCTCGATCAATATCTTCACAGCATAGCGCATAAGGTCAACTTTTCCAGTAACCTTTCAGTTCAATCAATCTCCTTACCCCGCCTCTTTGAAGAGGAAAGAGTTCCGCCATTTCTTCGCCAACAGTTCTGCAGGTCATATGCTAATTAATTGCTCTGAGAATGGAGACTCGTGCCGTCTCGAAGATTCAGCCCAAGGCCCAAGTCAAGCCAGTTGTTGATAGCTACAGTTCAGTTCTTCAGCAATAGCTCAAGAAGATGGCAGCAAAGATCAAAGAAAGAGTCGAAAGCGCAAAGACGGCGCTTAAGGTGCACGTAGATTAACCGAGCAAGAGATCCGCAACCTTCGCAACGAATCAAAAAATGGGTTCCCCAACCGCTGCCGAACGACATACGTGCATTGACCTCCAGGATGATCCTTCTTGAGTACGAAATTAAAAATGCTACGGAGAGCCTGACTGTGAAGCAGAATAGAGCCGAAAGGAGAATGGACTCCATTCCTGAAGTACTGACTTTGCTTAGATCGTCAACGAGACCAGAAGGGCCGAGAACGGAAGAAAAACCTGTTAAGTCGAGCGAAGAAAGCTCTGGCAGCTAGCACAAAGTAATAGCTTGTAAGACGTGGAAGAAAAGAAGAAAGACTGGACGATTCGGAGAAACTGCAGGATGAACTCCGCATGTTCCAGACGAAACTTGTCGTTGTTCTTCATGAAAGAGCATCAGCTAACTACAGGCTTAGCTTGGAAGAAGACCGAAAGAGACTCGAAGATTTTGGACAAGATCCACGAGTTGAAAGAAAGCACATTTTGCAGTCGAGAAGAAGACCGAGCTCCTGCGAAAAATATCGTTGAAATCTTTGTACCGGTCATTGAAAAATGATCGTAGCAAAAGAATGTTGTTCGTGGAAAAAGGCTTTATGTTTTTCCTGCATAGCTATCATCATATCGGACATATACACATACGTATACATAGACATATGTATATATATCCTCTTTGGTGTATAATCAGCCTCTTACGATTAGCTTTATGTTTACTATATCGCCTCAGCTGTTCTCTGTTCTCCTGCTGAAATAAATATAGGTTAAGAACTGGACTTCAACAGAAGAAGACCCGCGTGGCAAGACTAGAAAATTCCATAAATCGTTTGACAGATATGGAGCCAGGTTTGAGATCGGTGTTTCAAGACGCATATAGACGTGTATCTACGCCAGTATCTACGACATCTTGAATGGCCATGGTGATCTCAGGAACTTTCGTTGTTAACAGTGTTGCCCGACGCGGGCGACACTTTCTGAAAGGTCAGGCACTGTTGCCCCGATGAGGTGGCACCTAACGATCTTATTTGAGGGCTGCGATAGTGGATTAAGTGATCACGATGGCCATAGGGCGTTGCCGTAACGATGCAATAATTTTACTCAAAAAGTGCTCGAAATTTGAAGTAATTTCTGCGACACCCTAATATCCTCCTATACAGAGGTAGTGCGGTTCATGTAAAAAGGAAAGGGGGGGGGGGGGGGGGGGGGGGGGGGGGGGGGGGGGGGGGGGGGGGGGGGGGGGGGGGGGGGGGGGGGGGGGGGGGGGGGGGGGGGGGGGGGGGGGGGGGGGGGGGGGGTGACTAATTTGAAAAATGCCTTTAATAAGTGCGTTGAAATAAAAAGACGAGTCGATATTACGATCAGGTTCTTTTGGAAGGATGGATTCTCTCCACCTCCTTATTGCATGGGCTGGCCTCGGCAGTATGTGGTCAATGTACAGATCGAAAACCTGCAATTGTATCTAGACAATGATGTCACAATGACCAAAAAAACTCATGAAAAATGCATCGTATAACTAGCTATGCTTCTTCTTTCAGCGCGCTCCAACACTTCTACCTTTGCTCTATCAACCGATCCTACACACGGCCTTTACTTAAATGAGTGGTTGAGCTGGAAGCCACTTATTCTTTGTCAAAGGTTTTGTTTGTGTTGTTGCCGCGAAATAATTGCGAAAGATTTATCACAGTCAAGACATAGAATCAGCAGAAGCCACATGACTTCGGACAGAACTTCATCTTGCCAGCCGGCGACAAGGCCCCATTGCAGAAACCGGTCCTTACAAGAGTAGGGCACCTGAAATTTCGAATAAGTTCACATCGAAATTCGATCAAAGGACGAGCCTCTTACAACTGGTGGTCCACGCATTTGAAGCCATTTCCTGTGATCACGGAGGGGCCATGAGGCCTTTTTGTTGTCGTGGTAGTAGTAGCGGAACGAATTTCAGGGCCTGCTGGTCTGGGGGCACTTGCCGGAACTAAACACCTTCGATTAGTCACTTTTACCACTACTATATTATTAGGCATCAGCGAATAATATGTGTCTGTGAACTTACCGCTTGTGGGTAAAATATTGCTTATATTGTGTTTTCTTTAAGTCGATGTTTCCGATTTATAACGATTTGTTTCTGACTAATTATGTAGCGCACCTACGAGCAGGGTCAACCCTATCGTTGTTACTCTTTGGAAATTTTTCATTATTTTATTTTATTTTTTTAAGTCATCAAAGATGAAACTTTAGCAAAATCCACGACAGATATTCATCGCTGCTTCCAAACACGAAAAAATGAGATGCATTCAAAGATATCCGTGTACTCCAAAGGGGTTACCAAACTAGGAGATGAAATAAACTGAACCAGTAATATTGACAATATTACCTGATAAAAACTTATGAGAAGTCAGAAAAAATTATCGCTCCAATTGAAATACTGAAATCCTTCACGTTCTTCAATTGCAACACAATTTTTACACCCCTCTTTCTAAGGCTATAACTTCCTTCATATTCGAGCTTCTGCGCCGAAGTGATTTGATTTGGAAAATTCAAATTATTCTCTCTCCAACCAATGGCTAAA